TGGTGCCCAGTCTCTTTTTAAGGGCTCCCCAAGTGGAGGCTAAAGCTGCAACTCTTGAATCACCCACCATCTTTCCCAAGTCCATTGGCCCAAATCCATATATGAGTTCTATACTGTTTTGCTTTCAATCAACTCATTTTTTAAAAAATTTATTTAAAGTGGAAAGTTACTGACCTCAAATGGAAAACCACTATCATTTACCATGAAGGTGAAGTAATCATAAAAGTTAAATACCAGGAAAGCAAAGCAAGATTTTAAAATTCTAGTTAAATCCCATTTTTTGCTGACAGCTCTAAGCTGAGTCCTGCTTTCGCTTCCTTAGCCAGTGAAGTGTTAAAGACACAGAAGCTATTAAATGAGATTTTCTCCCCCAGTAATTGGAGGGACAGGGAGAAAAGGAAATATACATATCATGATAGGATTCGATGTTATGTAATAGCGTCTGGAGCCCCTAAAACCATTGCTGTGCATATCATATATTGGAAAACACTGACCTAATCCAACTCTCTCTTCCTATTTTACAGACAGGAAAACTAAGGCCCCAAAAGTAGAGATGATTTGCCCCCGATCTCACAGGGTCAGTGGCTTCAGCCAAACCTAAAATCTAACCAGAACTCTTTCCACGTATTAGAGGGGAGAATTATAAAAAGTTTAAGGACACCAGGCGTGGGATTTCAGGTATGCAGCAGTCACTAGCGACACTTGAGTGGAATGAGAGGGAGCAGGCGTGGCTCCTTTCATAGCACTCCTCGGACCCCCACGCACCTTCTCTTGGAGCACAGCCCTCCAACTTCCTGTGCTCAGCACCGAGGGTCAGAGTCTGGGCTCATTCTAACGAACTACACCAAATGGAAATGCGGCCCTCTTGGCTCAGACACCTGGGTGGAGGATGTTCTGGGCCTGGAGAGAAGCGAATCTATGAAAGCAGAACTCTCTCTCCAGGAAAGTGCATATTTTTTATGCATTTAATTGTGTGTGTGTGTGTGTGTGTGTGTGTGTGTGTGTGTGTGAAGGTTTTGGTCACCATTTATTTTCTCACTTTTTAATATATTTTTATTTATTTCATAGAGGAAGGGAGAGGGAGAGAGAGATAGAAACACCAATGATGAGAGAGAATCATTGATCGGCTGCCTCCTGCACGCTCCATTCTGAGGATCTAGCCCACAGCCACGGTGTATGCACTGACCGGGAATCGAACAGTGATCTCCTGGTTCATAGGTCGATGCTCAACCACTGAGCCACGTTGGCCCGACTAACGGTTACCAATTCCATGCTGATTTGTGTCCAAACTAATACGAGATACCAATTTTGAAGACATTAGTATGAAAATTAGATTACCTTATTAATATTTTATTATCTGTTGAATGGATAATATGTTATATATTGAATTAAATAGAATATATATATATATTTTTTTAAATATATATTTTACTGATTTTTCACAGAGAGGAAAGGAGAGGGATAGAGAGCTAGACACATCGATGAGAGAGAAACATCGATCAGCTGCCCCCTGCACACCTCCCACTGGGGATGTGCCCGCAACCAAGGTACATGCCCCCGACCGGAATCGAACCTGGGACCCTTCCGTCCGCAGGCCGACGCTCCATCCACTGAGCCAAACCGGCTACGGCTTAAATAGAATATATTACTAAAATTAATTTCACCTGTTTCTTTTTATTCTTCTTTAATGCGTAACTAGAAAATTTGAAGCTACACATATGGTTCATGTTATGTTCTATTGGAAAGTGCCGATCCAGAGAATTGGGATTGGACACCCTCAACTGTGACATTGGCCTCAAACTTGGGAGCCAAGCCCAGGATGCTTCAGAGAAGATACACCTACAAGTGTGGTGGAGGCTGCTGGTTTGCAAAGATTATGAAATGCCCCTACCAGTGTGGGCTCTGGGGCCAGCAGCCCCAGCTTCAAATCCAAGCTCACCTCTACAATGAGCTGGGTGGTCTTGGGCAAATTCCTGACCTTGAATCGAGATGACAGCACCCACCTCAGTTCTGTCATTGCCTCAGGACCTTTGCGCTTACTTTTTCCTGTCTCCCCCTCACATCTTTGCACTCGTCATCCCTTTTCTTCCTTAAGATACTCCTTTAAACACCACCTTCCTGATGATTCCTACTGAGAAGGTCTCCCCCCGGCCATACGTGATAGAGAACGAATCTACCCAATTTTATTCCAGAAAAGACATGACACATAATCTATTTTAAATCATCTTAGTTTGTTGATTTTATGGTCTGTCTCTCCACTAATTTATAGAATCTGTGAGGACAGGGGTAGGTCAGTCTTGTCACCGATAAGTCCCCAGCATTCAGAACATGACACAGCAGGAAACAAAGTTAGGAGTGTGTGAATAAATCCAGCAGAGTGCTGGCTTCATAGATGCGCTCAGAAGACAAACAGCCCCTTTCTTTCTTTGCCCCTTGTAGCTCTGGGTCCTTCCAACCCGAGTCGGAGTGTCCTGGTGTAGAAAATGAATTCATTTATCCTCGCAGGCAGCAGAGTCTCCAGGGTTAAATGAAATCCCAGACTCCTCTGCTGTGCCCTGAGAGCTCTGAGACCCAGGTGAGCTGGTCCCTGGGGTTCTGGAACCAGGGAAACAAAGGCGACTCCCTTCGCCTCACATTCAGCCTCTGCCTGAGGAGTTATTTTGGACACTGGTATATTCCACACCAAGACCCAAACAGGATTTCCACGGAAAGGTGCTGGGTGCCGGATGCGGGGGGTGCACAGCAATGCTTCCCCTGGGCCTGCCAGGCCTGGGGTGCAAGTCCTCTTATAGCGGGGGTGCACAGCAATGCTTCCCCAAACAGCAAGTGCCACTGGGCCTGCCAGGCCTGGGGTGCAAGTCCTCTTATAGCTGCCTTCTCCTCTCCGAGCCTCCACTGTGTCCACTCTTTATATTAAGCATCTGTCTTTCTATTGAGCACCTACAATGTACCATCCACTGTTGTAAGCATTTTACATGTATTAATTTAATTTAAGCAACAATCCTACAAAGTGAGTGCTGTGCTATTTATAAGCCCATTTCATAGAATAGGAAACTGAAACAGACACACACACACACACAGAAGAGGGGAGAGGGAGAGAGAGAGAGAGAAACATGGATTGACTGCCTCCTGCACGCCCCCTACGGGCGATAGAGCGTGCAATCAAGGCATGTGCCCTGATTGGGAATCTAACCGGTAATCTTAAAATGCACGGGGCCACGCCCAACCAACCAATGGAGCCACAGCTCCCAAGGCTGAAGCAGGGTTTTAAAGAGCTTTCCGGACGTAGCACAGTGGGTCTGGGCAGAGGTGAGTGCACTCTTAGGCAGGCTGGTTTTAGGGTGCTTGCTCTTAACCACTAGGCTGCACTGCTCTTAGCAAATGAATGCTGCGAAGCCCACCCAACATCAGGCCTCTCCAGGGCACTACACTGGCCCTTTTGAGCCCGAATCTGCTCCTATAAGTCTGGTTTTTGCAAGTTCCTGGGCTGCTTTCCCACAGCCGAGCCTCGAGCTGCACCTTAGTAGAATGGGAATACTCGAGCTTCCTGCTGCCACGGGTTCTCCAAAGGTTTAAGAATGCAATGGCGGGCAAGTGCCTGCTAAACGGGAAGCGCCCGGGACACTATCATGGTTTGCTCTTTTTCTCCTCAGCACCATCCTGAGAAGGAAAGACATTTTCTCCCATTTCACAGAGGGGGAAACTGAGGCTCAGAAAAGCAAAATGCGTTTCCCGAGATGATAGGGAGGAATCCGTGGCTGGTGTCTACACTCAAACTTGGGGCGCGGGGCGGGAAGGGAAAGGGCTGGCGGCGAGACACCCCTAGAGGGCCCGAGAGGCGAGGTGCCCTGGCGGGTGA